TGTTTGTCTGAGAAAAAAATACGGACCTTAAATTTTAATTTATTTATCGCAAAAAAAAATTTCATTCATTCTGATTTACACCTTTTGAGATAATACCTTTCTTTTCATACAGCAGACACAAAACATTATTCTCACAAGAATGGGTGAAGGGTTTGGCGAGTATATGTCGGAGTATGTTCTTGGACAAATAATTTCTAGGGAACATTATTTCCCTCAGATGCTAGAATCTCAGAAAGCTAAGATATGGGAAAGGTGACTTTAAGCTTTTTAGTTTTTTAAATGAAAATATTGACACTGGAAAGGTTCTTTGTAATAGTATATTTAAGAACACACCTTTAATGCATTTCTGAATATTATCGTAATATTCCATTGCAAATAGCTGTCTTAAGAGCACACCAAAATAATTCTTTTGTTTCAAATTTTAATTTTCTGCTTTTTTGCAATGAATGGTAAAAATAGAAGTTTCGAAAACAAGTGATTAAAGATCCACAGTAATGAAGAAATAGTTTTGTTAGACATTTCAATTCAAAAAAAGTATCTTTATATTTTAGAACATGGTATGTCTAGAAGCGCTCGTTATCAAAGTTGACTATTGGAATTTTGGGAACTGGAGCGATTGGATCAAACAGTAATTGAAGTTTCAAACTTCTATTTACTGAACTAATGACAATATCCATTAAGATTTAGCACAGGGAAATTCACTTTGTAAGAATACCCTAACCCGGGGATGAACCCTTGACCTAGGAATCTGTCTCGTACAAAAACAGTGCGATAGACCGCTCGGCCATCTAGGCAAGTCTAAGAAACTTGCTTTCGATGGTGATGAAATTCTCGCGACAACGCCCTACCCTACACGGTCACTGAGAGTTGAAGTGAGAAACTAATTTGGACATTTGTTTTATATATAGTGCATAGTCATGATGAGCAAGAATGCAAACTGTTTTGCTTTAAAAATGACAGTTTAATTGTGATGAATCATCAGAAAATATGTAAATATAAGAAATGAATTTAATTTTTGAAAATTCATGAGGTACATGAACTACAATGCTTCATGCTGGCATATTTATCATGAAGCACTAACGCGCTTCATGAAATATGCCGACGTGAAGCGTCGTAGTTTATGTCCTCATGAATCTTCAAAAATTAAATTCATTTCTTAAATGAATTCTCAAAAATTAAATTCATCTCTTAAAGAATTATCACAGAGAAAACAATTAGAAATATATATATATATATATATAGAGAGAGAGAGAGAGAGAGAGAGAGAGAGATGCAGAAAATGAGCTTCCATTGGATAATTAAAATAATCACAACAGAAAGCATCAGTAAATTGATATCGTTATTTTCAGTCGCGGCGGTTTGTAAAGCATTTGGCATGGCTGTATGGGGATTATCAAGAACTAAGAAGGAGGAATCAATCCCCCACTTTGACGCTCTAATGTAACCGTATTTACAACTTTCTTTTCAATAATAATGCTGAAAATCAGTCATACATCTTACAGAAAGCATCATTATGGTCTGTATAATAGGCAGCTGATTCGGATGTTAATTTGAATAATTTATCTTTCGATTTCTAATATCCTCTTCTTTTCCTTTTTGGGTTAAGTTGTGGAAATATAAAATTAAGGATTTATGTATTCCTGTAAATGTATTCTTAAAAAACCTACTAGGGAGAAGAGCGACATCTCTAAGTTCCTTGCAGCCTGTGACTATGTTTGCAGTGTTCTGCCAAGCACACCAGATACCAAAGGCCTGTTGTCAGGGAATGTTCTACGTGCATGCAAGGAAAAGGTCGCCTATTGAATCAGACCTTTGAATATTTACTGATATTCGTAAAATTTTGAATGGTGTTTAACTGAAAAATGAGGCATATTAAGTTCTTGAGAGGAGGAGATCCCTTCAATGAAATGACTATTAGTGTAGTAATTTACATCTGAGTTAAATAAAAAAAATCATAACACATATTCAAATGAAGGATCTTTTCTATAAATGCTTCAGCAATATCCTGTATAGGCATAAATATTTTTGCTTTCCTATTTTATGTAATTTGCAGAGATCTGTGTTCATTAATATAGGAAGAGGTGATGTCATTGATGAATCGTCTTTACTGAACGCTTTAAAGTAAGTTGTGATATGTATCGAGGATGTTTTGCAACTGCACTTAAGTTTCAAATTTTGTAATTCAGAATCTACTCGAATCGATAACTTTATTATTATTTTATGAGAACATAATTATCTGAGTTCACATATCTTCGATATACTTGCAAACTATCTACAAACTATCCATTCCTTTATATAGGAGACGTACATGTATTTGGAAACAGTTATTATTACGTGACATATTTGATTACATATAAAAGCTCAAATTATGGTATGAAAAAATTGCAATATAATAACTTTGCAGCAATGACTGGATAGGAGGGGCCATCATGGATGCAACAGACAGGGAACCACTACCTCCCGAGAGTGAATTGTGGTCACATCCAAACGTCACAATAACTCCTCATATAGCGGGACCTTGCTCAACAGACACTGTAAATAAGCTTTGTAATTCACTGAGAAAATATTTGTTTCCAAGTTCACATCCATTATTTCTTAATTATCCATGCTTCTAAGAACAAGAGTTTTGCTATTTTCTCCAATACTAGAATTCACTCATAGCTGGGATAAGTTGATTACATGTATCTATACATGGCCGTAGGAACCGGGGGAGGGGGGCACAGGGGGGACTTGCCCACCCCCAATAATTTTGCCGATATATAGAATACTATGGAAAACATAGCAACTATATACTTGTGCCCCCTCAATAATAACATCTGATGACATTTTTTTGCTTGTCAAGGAATTTTGGTACTTGATGGTGCCCCCCCCCCCCCCCAACTGAATGAAAATGTATGGTTGTATGGTTGTGCCCCCTCAAAGTGAAACTGCTTCCTACGGGCCTGTCTATAAACTACTATATTTTTGTCGTTTATCATGGTTTTTTTGTCTCTTTCGTACCATATTCTATTTTCGGTGGTTGAGGACCTAACTTAACCTGTACATATCTTTTAAGTTTAAAAAGATTCATCTTGTGGTCAGAACAGTCTTAAATTTCTACTATATCTTTTACTTTTTCTTTCAGATTGCAAAAGTATTTGTTTCAAATTACAACAAGTATATCCGTGGACAGCCATTGGATTACCTCCTGGACTTTGAGCACGGATATTAGACAATCTAAAGGCCACTTTTCATGAACTGGACAAAATCCTGATTCGAAACACAACCAATAATAAAGCGGCATGATTAAATTTACAATTCAAATAATTCACCGGTGACTGTTCATTATGAAGCTATAAATTTATTAATATTTTGGAAAAAAGGCACTGTATTATAGCTTGATATATATGTTACGATTTATTTACAATAGGTACAATGGAGGAATATGTAAATGATATAAGCAGTTTTAATTTGTGAGAATATATTAAGGATGGATTCTTCTCATACTTATAGTAAAAATCAGTGAAATTTTCACAGATTCACGAAGACAATATCACTAAGTGCTGTTATTAATAAAATTGAAGTAGTGTCAATCAAATGTGGATTCTTTATACATGTAGTAGTCTATGGAGACCAGGTTTTCCAATGCACTGTTGAAATCACGATGGGTTATAATTTTGTTCCTTTGATAGCCAACCTGGTTTTATATTCCAGTTATGTGTTATTATATGCTTGAATATATTCTCAGATTTGTATTGTTTGTGGTTTTTTTTTTATTTAGATCTATCAGCCAGATTTGCAACTTGAAATTTTCATTGCACCGGTATCATAGCATTCATACTAAAACAACTCTAGGGACAAACCCTACAGCAACAACGACGCAACACACGGGTGGTTGTGTAAATATTTATGATTGTTTATAACTTGAAAGACAACCCATGGCCAGCTGATCAACACCTTCAGATCACTCCACTATGGACCAGAGGCAACAATTTGCAGCACCTTAATCCACATCCAAGGACGACCATCTACCATTCATCAGTTTTCCCCGAAGCAATAAGACTTTGTCACCAGTTTCCATGGATAATAAAAAGCCAAGAGTTAATACCAAGCCATCTAGCTTTGCAAGACACATACATGTGTTTTATCCTGCTTAAAAAATACTAGCACACTAAAATCATATTGAGAAATCTTCTCTATACTGCTCACTAGCTTCAGGGTATTTTTGTGTACTGAGATTGATCTGCCATTCGATATTAAATAGAATGAATAACAATGTGCCCTGTATTACATGTAATTAATTCAAGCATTTTGAACATTATATTAGTTCAAAATAAAGTAATTGATAACTTTATTTGTACGTATGTATTTACCTATTTGAATAAGCAGACGCGACATTTCTTCTTCAGTACTTTGCTATCTTTGAAGATTTTCCTGGTTAAAAAAGATATGTACTCTATGATAAAAACGAACTAGATAATATCAATATACAATTCTTTTCGCTATATAATTTTCTCATAGTCCAAAAAATTTTTAATCAGTGTGTAGAGGGTCCGAGGCCTTAAGGACATACGCAACGTAGTTTGAACTTTACTGTCTTTTTCCCTGGAGTTGAAGAGTTCCCATACTTAAAGGAACTGTGTGCTACATTTTAATGTCTATATATGCTGTTTTACACTTCTTCTAAAACAAGTTTGGATAAACAAAATTTCTAGAATATGTGTTTAGTAATTTTTTGTATATTTTTCGTTGAATTATACATAAAGTTTCATCAAGATTATCTTGAAAAATTATCAGTAGGTAAGGTAGGTTGCGTATGTCCTATAAAGGATTAAGAAAGGGCTCGGTCGTTCTGTCATCCGGTCTTCCTTATTTTACTGAATATGATCTATCATTAGTAACATGTTCTGTTTTTTTACAATGCGTCGTGAAATAATTAAGATTCAAATAACTTCGGGAACGAAACACAGATCGGGATCGGGAATGTGTAAAGTAAAAATAATCTAGGGCGGAAAATAATCATGGCTTGTGCAAGTGAGAATTTGGATGATATTTCTCTGTGTTCTGTTTGTTTTGACAAATTTAAAACACCAAGGTATTTGCCGTGTTACCACTCCTTCTGTCATTTATGTCTTTCGTCCTTTATTGCCTCATCATGTAAATCCAGAGAGACTACTTTCGGATTCCATTGTCCAGTATGTCGTGAATTCACTCCATGTGTTGGTGAATCTGAATCATGGGTTGAACATTTTCCGATTAATGAAATGTTAATGAAGTTTCTCGAAGACGGTGTTAGCGTAAAATTTTGTGGACCATGTAAAATGGATGATGAAGAAATTGAAGCTACAGACTTCTGTGCCGAATGTAAGGAAAATATGTGTAAAACATGTACAAAATATCACAGAAAATTCGTCGCCACTCGAAATCACACTGTGTGTTCATTGAATGAGGTAAACCAAATAAGTTTACGGTCACACATGTACAAAACATGTCGTCAACATAAAGACAGGCCGATTGAGCTTTTCTGCAATGACCATGATGACCCTTGTTGTTCCCTGTGTGCGGGCACTCGGCACAGAAAATGTGACAGTGTTGATTCAATAGAGATGGTAGCAGAAAACCTAAGGAAAAAATGCTCAATTAAGCAACTTATTAGCGAAATGGAATCTTATGAACAAAACCTTTCAGAGCTGAGGAAATTGCAAGAAGAAAATATTGTAGATATTGACAATGTTTCTGACAAACTTACAGAAGATGCAAAAAAACTAGAAGAGGATACTGTTAACCATATAAGAAAACTGAAAGATGGTTATCTTGACCAACTCTCCAAAGTTGTAAAGGAAAGCAAAAAGAAAATAAATAGAAATACAGATAATGTGAATGACAAATCTCATTGTGTCAAGAAATGCAAACAAACACTGTCAGATATTGACGATAGAACAGACATAGTTGAACAAGTTGTGAAATTTTCTACTGCTAAACTGATTTTTCAACATCTGAAGAAATCACTTACGAGGAGAGTTCTTTTCTCTCTTGAAATGACAAGTTGCCCTAAGTTGAATAATTCTAAAGCAAAAAAATTAATTTCATTTCCAAAGTTGCAAATAAAAGAATCCATTCAAGAAGTTTTAGGTGACATTGACATTAAAGAAGCCAAAACAAGAGTTACAGCAAAGTTCAAAGTTGTAGGAGGATGTGTTTATAGTGGGACTTTTCTGGTCGACGGAAGAATTATATTTCCTCAAAATTCCAATTCCGGGAATCATTTTGAAACACAGTGTCTAATTTTTTTGAAAGATGGTTCATTCCAAAAACCTATCAGCGTTCCATATCGACCCGCCTGTGTGAAACTGGATGGAGAAGAACTCTACATAACATGTCTTTATGACAAAATGATTCACGTCATATCTTCCCAAACATTTGAAAGTATTCGTGAATTTTCAGTTCAGAGGGCATGTTATGGAATAGATATTATGGATGACTTTTTGTACATCGCATGTCATGATTTTATTGAAAAGCTTGACAAGTCTGGTGGGATAGTTCACACCTATGAATTCCCTGGACATAAAATCGAGTGTGTTATTGTCACAAAACAAGAGAACGTTGTATATAGTGTGTATAATGATGACCTAGTTTCAGCTGTAAGTAATGAAGGGGACCCAATATGGATATATAAAGGTCCACATCTGAAATTCCCTTATGGCCTGGAAAAAGACTTGGAAAGCAATATATACATAGCAGGTAGAGACAGTGGAAATATACATGTGTTATCTAGTGCATGTGTCCTTATCAGAAGGTTTGAGAATGTGACCAGGCCATGGTTTATAGCGATTTCTCCCAGTAATAACATATTCTGTGTTTGCAGTGATAACAAAGATATGGCTATATGGCAAATGTACTAAATTTCACAAATAGGGCTAATCCAAACAAATAAATAAATAAAAAGAAAATAAAATTTGTTTTCAAAGTACTGAGATACATATGAATTCACTGAGTTTTTTCCTTTATTTTTTAACATACTATATTCAAGTCATCGTGATAAAATTGGACAGCTTAAGACCTTTTACCTATATTTAGAGACGAATATTCAACAAAGTCTTTTGATAAACAACAGATTAATGTAGAAAAATATTTCAAGATGCACATACTTTTCATAAGACCAGATTATTACCCTTTTATTAAGATTTTACAAAATTTCTATCTATGAAACTTTTTACGTGTTGAACTATTAACCGGAAAATAAGTTATCCCAAATGTATGATTGTACATGTGTAGCAGTGTTAAAGATACTCTCTCCACATAGCCCAAGCAAGTTTGTATTTCAATCAAGAACATGATAGAGAAGTTATAAATTTATCATATTATTCTCGATATACTCCTCTAAGTCCTCTTCCAAATTAAGTACATCTGCATCAGGGACAGTAAGCTTTTTTTTTTAAATTTTGCACTGTCCTGGGTCAGTGGATGCTTACACCTCCTAGGAAACTGAACCCACCTATGGAGCTTCCAGGGGTCCGTATTTTGTCCTGTTCACAAATTTGTTTAGTTTTTAGGTGTTTTGAGATCAAACACTGTTCGTTAATATTACAGAGGACGAAGTTCACAAAGTTGTGATGAAATCTAAATCTGGAAAATCGTGTGGTATAGACGAGCTCCCGTATGAGGTACTTAAGTCGGACACAGTTATCAAAATTCTACATAAGATGTTTATGTTGTACTTTGATACCGGAATTATACCTTCAATATGGCGTAAAGCAATAATTTGTCCGTTACTAAAGGACCCATCCCCGACCCTCTGCTTCCATTGAATTATCGAGGAATATAAGCCTTCTCTCTGTTGTAACTAAAATTTACAGTTCTATTCTGAACAAAAGACTGGTGACTTACTTTGACGATAACGATCTTTTAGTCGATGAGCAAAACGGATTCACGTGTGAAAGATCCGGCTTAGATCATGTATTTACCCTAAATAGTATAATCAAAAACAGAAATTCTACGTTTGTTACTTTCATTGATTTTAAAAAAAAGGATTCGATATGGTAGATAGAGAGTTGATGGAATACAGTTTACTTAAAAATGGAGTGGATGGGCATTTCTACCAAGCGGTGAAATCTTTGTATCGGAGTACTGAGTCTTGTGTTCGTTTAGGTAGCTATTACACCGACTGGTTTGTATGTACGTCGGGAGTTAGACAGGGTGATAATCTCTGCCCAACGCTGTTCGCCTTATTCATCAACGATCTCGCTGTACAAGTAAAAAACTTAAACAATGGAATTGAATTCGGTGCCAACAAATTGAACGTCCTTCTATACGCAGATGATATAGCGTTGATTCCGCAGAATGAGGCTGACATGGACGCAATACTTAATGTTGTCTCTAATTGTTGTAAGAAGTGGAGACTGTGTATAAACTCTACCAAATCGAAAGTAGTACACTTCCGTAAAAAACAGCGAAAAAGAAGTGACCATGTGTTCACCCTAGGAGAAGATCGTATTGATTATTCATCATCTTATAAGTATCTTGGTGTATTGTTTGATGAATTTTCCACATTTAAGAACAACAGCAAAAATCTTGCAAAATCGGGTGGACGCGCACTAGGGGCAGTTATATTCAAATTACATACGAATAAATCAATAGGATTCAAAACATATGAGAAAATGTATCTGAGCGGAATCGTACCTATTTTGGACTACTGCAGTGGAGTATGGGGTTACGATAAACATCATAATATTGAATCTGTACAATATCGTGCGTTGCGGTACTTTCTTGGTGTGCATCGATTTACTCCGATATTAGCTATTCAAGGAGAAGTTGGTTGGCTCCCTTCATTTTATCGTCATCAGGTGAATATTATACGTCTTTGGAATCGACTCGTTACAATGCCGGACGAAAGACTTACGAAAAAAATTTTCTTGTGGGACCGGGAACAATCTTTATCAAACAACAGAAATTGGTCGCATATATAGTCAAACTCCTATTTGAATCTCTTGATGTCTATTTATTTCCAAAATTGCATGGTCTGTAACTTAACCATAGTGGAAGAAAAGCTTCGTCGGAAATTTTTAATGCATGGAATGAAGATCTCCAAAACGTCCCAAAACTTAGAACCTACCGAGCTGTAAAGATTGATTTTCAAAATGAGAAATATGCAACAATGGATATTCCAAAGTGTCATCGTTCTATATTTGCACAATTTAGATGTGGTGTATTACCTATTAGAATAGAAACAGGACGGTATAAGGGGGAGGCTTTATCTGATAGACTCTGTACTCTATGTTCTTCAAATAGTGTAGAAGATGAATGCCACTTTTTGCTTCATTGTACATCATATTCAAATTTTAGAGCAATCTTTTTTACCAGTATTGGATTTAAACCAACTTCATTTGATATAAATATGTCAGATTTAGACAAAACCAAATTTCTTTTAGTAAATTTCCCAACACAAATCGGAAAATTCATATACTCAGCATATACTTACAGACAGTCTATTATTTATAATAAACGCAATGCGTAATATCACAGTATTCTTATTGATTGTTATATTGTTAAAAAGTGACATATAGGCCCGATGGGCCTGGTGTTTAAATTCCTATTATATGTATATTTGCTGACAGTTGTTGTAATTGTACATAACACATGTCACTATAATAAACCATTTACTTACTTATAAAATTATCATATTATTCTCCATATACTCTTCCAAATTAAGTACATCTGCATCAGGGACAGTAAGCTTTTTTTTTTAATTTTGCATTGTCCTGGGTCAGTGGATGCTTACACCTCCTAGGAAACTGAACCCACCTATGGAGCTTCCAGGGGTCCGTATTTTGTCCTGTTCACAAATTTGTTTAGTTTTTAGGTGTTTTGAGATCAAACACTGGTTGTTAAGGATATCCAATCCTCAGCCAGGAAGGATAACTCTTAAATTTATTATTTTATTTAAAAAGTCTCAAAATAAAGCTTGAAATTGAAATCTTTTCATGCAACAATTTTCATTTAATGCATCTTGATATGATTCAAGGTTCCTTGAAGTCTTAGAAACGGTCATGTAAAAAGTTGACATTCATACCCCATAAAAGATAAAAATTAATTCATTTTTAGAGAAACTGAATTTCCTTTAGTCTAGCATTAGATACGACTGTTTATTAGCGTGATATGAAATTCGATGTGATATGTGATGTCTAGCAATGATAGCACAAACTTTTTACACTATGTATTATATGACAATTGAACTAAAAAGAGGAACTAAAATACTGTATAAGCATAAAAAAGATACAATTTTCTCCAAATGCCTATATTTTTCTATCCTAAAATATATTTGTTAATCAATTTTCAATTAGAAAGTGCATAGCTGGTGTTCTTATTCGCATTTCTTGAAAATATATTTGAGATTTGATCATTTTCCCTATATAATATGATTAACTTTAATGATGAACTTTGAAGAAATTCCATGGGTAAATTCACGTTACTGTGTGAAATCAGAGACATTTTTGTAAGCATTTTCAATTACTTAAAAGTTGATTTTCAGAACCTGAGGATTGGACTACCTTAACATCACATTTACATTGACAGTAGTCCCTTTTCTATCACAGCAGACAGGAATTAGTGGGGATCAAGATAACACATCATTTTTTTCTTAATTATACTGATGTCAAGGAGAGTTCCCCTCTCCTTGTCTCAAGAGTACCCTTGACATCGGCATCCCATGTACAATTTTTGAGCACATCCATTTTCCTAGTAATCATAAATAATACCTAGGCCAAACTCCAATGGATTCTGCATCTAGGGTTGGTAAGTACCAGCACTCATTTCGAATGCTGCATTTGATCTATTTTTTCTGGAAAAGTTTATGGAGCAGGTCAATACCAAAGTTACTGCAAGCCCTACCTGGACAAAACTTGCATAGAGGATGCATAGATCTATCAAGGCATACTACCAAACAGTTCATAGCACATAGCTCAGTGGTCATAGATGTGTGGGCAGTAATCAAAAAGCCGCTGGTTTAAATTCCATTAAGGGCACTTGTTGTGTCCTCAGAAAAGAAATTTTATTTAGATCGTCACAGTCCACCAAGCTAAAATGTGTACCGGCATAAGGTGGGAGCTCACTTGTGATGGTGTCCCATCCAGGGGAAATTCAAGGATTCTCATCCGCTCCACACCACAGAAACTAGTATAAGTGGTGGTCTATTGAGTCTCATGAACTCGGAGAAAGATGTAACTTTAACTTATAACTAACACCTGACATGCTTTGGATGCAGCACCCGACCTATATTCACCAGATGAGTGGCAAGGTGAAAGATCTTGGGACAGGTCCGTTTCCAAGTAACTTTCTTACGTATGGATAATGCACATATGTGGAGGTGAGCTTCGAAATCTCTGATTTTTCACTATCTACGTTTCAACTTGTAGATAAAATCAGCAACAGTGACCTTATTTTTAATTATGAAACGCATCTGATACCTCATGCTAGTGTACCTGTAAAACATCAGTCTAATCTATTTTCAGCACTACATGTAGCAGGCCTTTAACCTTCTGCCGTTTGTAAGAGTCACGTATTTATTAGAATTAATTTTACTTAAAAATTTTAATCTTAAACATTAATCACATTTTTAGAACTTTTTTCCCTTAAATAAAAATGACTTGCAATTATAAAGTATCCTTTTGATAAAATGCAAGTAAACGTCACACAAATGTCTATAATGTCAATGCACGGTACATACAACACAAACACATCAAAAAATCAATGAATAACAAACAAAAAACTTCATAATGTCATACTAGCTACTGGTAATGTTTATTTCAAAATTATTAACAAAAATTTTTCAGTAGCCTTTAGTCCAGTCTACAATATGATTAAGCCTTTGATTATTGATGTACTTCTCATAGTTTTTGACAAACACCTCCGCAATCTGGAAAAAAAATCCAGAAACTAGACAATTAATTTTACAGCAGCCTAATGAAGATGAATATTTTTTTCTCTTGATAAATAACTTTTTGAGCTTCCAATAAAAGCATGCCAGGTAATTTTGGGTCCTGCTTCACATAAGAAAAAACAACTAATACCAAAAACTTTAGCTGATTATTCTGTTAAAAAATCCTTGTATAAAATATCTTTCAGGTTTTCTTTTTTTAAAAAAGAAAAGAAAATAAATTCACATTAATATAAAGCTAAAAGTTATTTACAAAAATCCATTTTTTGGACATTTAGTTCTGTTCTAAAACGGGGCCATGGTCACCAATTAAGAAATCAAAGAAAATACATGAAAAGTAAAACTACATGTAATAGTTGAGGAATGTATAATGCCTCTGGGACACAAACTTACAATTTCCGCCACACAAGGACCAGATATATGTGGTGTTACTGTAATACATGGATGGGACCACAAGGAACTCTCTGATGGAAGTGGCTCCTTAGAAAAAACATCTAAAATAGCACCACCTATCCACTTGTTTCTAAATAAAATAAAAAGCAAGAAAAACTGATAATCATTCAAAATTCTAAGCGAATTGATGTAATACTCCGAGAGAAAATAATAAAATTCATCATTAATCATTTTTCATATTGATGATATTTTTTTTAAATTTATTTACGAATTTAATTAAATGAACATATGATATTTACTCAAGAGCAGAAAGAAGGGATTCTTCATTAATAATACTTCCACGTCCGACATTGATGAAAATGGGTCGCTGTAACAGTAAGATTGGAAATATTCTTTGTTTCATTATATATTTTATAATTATTACATAATGCTGTACATTATAGTCATGCACAAATTTATGTAGAAATTGAGCCGAGGTTGATATCGATATAATTTTCAACGCTAATTTCTCAGAATTGGTTATCATCTCATACAGATACAGGATGGACCACACGTGAAATTTTGTCATCCTGCTTAGAATTACAAGAAAAAAAATACTTTGATTTACATCATTAAGCACATCTCACATACTCAACATACTCTATGTACCTTTGATTTACAGCATATCAGTACATCTCCTGACAACATATTCTATGTACCTTTGGTTTACAGCATTTCAGCACATCCCCTGACAACATATTCTTAGTTTCTGACGTACCAGGTAAAACGTTACATATATAGTCACAACCCGCCAAAAAACCACTGAGATCCGCCAGCGTTCTATGTAAAATAATTCAAAACTATAAGGAAGCAATATTTTGCATTTTAAAGAGACAGAAAGGGAGAGAAATTGAATCAAAGTCCTATATTTCTTTTATATTTGTATTATAAATCGAAAGATTTTTTTTGTGGATTGCGAAGTTCTGACAATAAAAGCAGGCAAATAGTGCACTATATGTCTAGTAATATGTCCACTGTCCTTTACAAAAATAATGATGTTTCTTATGCAAAATTTGTACATGGCAATTAATTGTCATGTACAAATTTTCATAAGAAATATCTTCTTTTTTTGTAAAGACACTATATTGCATCATTGTTTTTGTCATACCAACGTCAAGTAACTTTTTTTAGCGTAAATCTCTAATGCAATATTGAATCGAGGCTTGCAAAGGTGAAGTATCTTTTCCGCTAAATTGTGTCAAAAATATTAAATTCTGATGACAACCGACATTCCATTTCCATGGTAACTTGTTCATGTGCGTGTGTAAATTAGGCGGGAGAATCGAATTGTTTCAAGTCAGGCAATTATTTCGTTTTTCTTAATAAAAGCACAATGTAGATATTTTAGGTTCTATAACTTGCAATTTTATGAAATCTAATACTTCAAGAATGGAACAAAATTTGCATGAAAAACGCAAAAAGATCTTTCTTTCTTAAGCAGACATACTATAAGCAGACATACTAAAAAAGTAGGGAAAACATGCAAATATTACATATGGAGTGATTCAAATCTCATTGATAACTCACGTAAGGTGATCAAATGCAGAGTTATGTTCCTTTGTAGATCGACTTAGACCCCAGACTGTCATACCCACAGCTTTACAAAGCTGAGCAACTACAAACAAAAATGATATGCATCAAATTCATACTTTATGAATAATAGTTTAAGATTTCACAATATTAATTAATATTTAGGTGTTCCTTTTAATTTATCAAAACATCCATAAGTTTGTTTTTTTGTATGTTGTTTAACGTCCCTCTCGAGAATTTTTCACTCATATGGAGACGCCACCACTTGCCGGGATCTTTTTCGTGTCAGCACCTACTGCGACACGGGACCTCGGTTTATACGGTCTCATCCGAAGGACCGGTCTCCACGTCCAACAATGGGATTCGAACCCGCGACGTAAGGATCAACTCCTTACTCTGCGACTCTAGAGCAGACGCTCTAACCACTGCGCCACGCGGGCGAATCTTTTAAGTTTGTAAAAATAAAACAAAATAAAGGTTAATTTGGTAAAGATAAGAGAAACATTTAAAACTCATTCATTCATTCCATCTTTATTTCCACCTATTGGAGAATCGAGCAACAAAACAACTTTTACAACATATTTACATCAATGAAAAAAAGTTAAATATTTTCTGTTGAAGTGAGAAGTATATAAGCGTTTTGTACATACAATACATGCAACATATTTTAGCGCATGTGTGTGTGTGTGTGTGTGTTTATTTAGAATCATTGTCTTGGTAAGTTGCTGTACTAGAAACTAAAAATGAAAAAAAAAACAATTTAACATGGACTTTCTGTTGATTGGTTTTGAGTACATCTAAGAACACTTAGAAAAGATAGGTAAAAATCGTATTTAGTAAGAGTGAAAAAAAAAAACTTATATAAACAACGTCGATATTCAGTCCAAAATTCACCTCCTTCGTAAGAAGTAACGGATCACGACGTTGATATGTTGAAAACTATTTGTTAAAGGTTTCGAGCATAAACATGGCCGTAGGAACCGGGGGGTGGGGGGGACGCCCCCCCCCCCCCTAATAATTTTGCCGATATATAGATTACTATAGAACATATAGCTGCTACATGTATATGGTTGTGCCCCCTCAATTTTTTTTTTTTTTTTGCTAATCAAGGAATTTTGGGTAGTTGATAGTGCCTCCCCAACTAAAAATGTATGGCTGTTCCCCCCCCCCCCCCCCCAAACTGAAATTGTTCCTACGGGTCTGATATATATACTAATGCACTGTTCTGTATAATCCTACAAAAGAGTCCACTAGTTTACGATATACTTAACTACTTATATATCTCTTTTGTTAAGATTGGATATGTCAGAATATATAAACCAGGATAACTCAGAATAATCCAGGATAACTCAGAACAATCCAGAAAAATCCCGGATAACTCAGATTAACCCAGGATAACCCAGAGTGGAAAATACTAGTCAGTAAAAATCAAAGAAATGAACATGGACATTACATGTAACATTGACAGATTACTCTATGTATTAAATGTGTTGTGAAAATTAATCTGTGAAAGCTGACAATTACATGTAATGTTTATTTCTACCGTGGATTATTTTTCTTAATTTACAGGACTTTACTTATGTTTAAATAAAGCATTTTTTTTTCTTTCGTTGTTATTCCAGTTATTATTCTTTATTTTCTTTTTAAAGAAAATATAAAAATTAGTTCTATGTAATGGTTCCATGATTCTCGTGCTCTTCACCTGAGTGCAAAGATGATTTCATTATAATATGTTAGCCAATAGAAAAGTTTCACGTTACTTATACATTTTTTAGCAAATCAATCAGATGGCCTAGATATTAACATCACTGGCGGATTTAAGGGGGGGGGGCGTGGGGGGGGGCGCACGCCCCCCCCCCCCTAAGATTTTCAAAGTGTGATATGACTAATATCAATAATGCCATACTTTGGTATATAACAAACCAATACCGCTATTTTTGTGCCTGGTTTTACTCTTAAAATACACGAAAACCCAGGAGCTTCCGGGGGCTTCGCCCCCTGGGCCCCCTCTATTCAAAGTATGATATGACTAGTATTAATAATGCCAAATTTTGGTACATATAAACTAACCAATACCCCTATTATTGTGCCTGGTTTTACTCTTAAACTACACGAAAACCCAGGAGCTTCCATGCCAAGAAATCCCGTCCATTTTTCCACAGCGATACAGTCAATAAAAGTGTAATTGATGCAAATCACCCATATTCCCCTAACGCTGGCGAGACAATTAACGGCAGCAGATTTGAGGGGGTGGATCCTAAGTTTTCCGTTTTCTTAGTAAAAGAAAAATAAACTTCTACCCCAGGAAGTAGCCTCCTATGCCCTGAAAAAAATAGTTCCTGTCAAAAACCTTTAATTGTTTACAAAATATGTAAAATACACTAGACACAGGTACCAAAATTGTAAAAATAGACTGGAAGGAAATCAAAAAAAATTCAAAAGGAAAAAATAATTATTTTATACGTATGGAACTACAATTACCTAAGTTCATTTTCATTGGTCAATTAGCGGTATGATACCTTAATAAGGCGCGAGACTTGAGGCCTCGAGACTTCCACAACAACCAAGTTCATCGTGCCCGATGTTAATTTATACTAGGAAAAAAACTATTTTGATATGGAAACACCGAAAGATTTGAAAGGCGTCTAATTTTTACTGAACAATTAATTAGTTTACTACAATCTATTTCACTTTCTTTTTCTTCTATTTCACTTTTTTTAACCGCATATGATTTGCATGGAAAATCCCCCCTCCCTTCAATAAAAACAAGACGGGAAAGAGGTGCAAAGGCTTCTAAATAATAAGTTTTCTAGCTTTAATTTAAAACCAGTAAAACTTAAGATCCTTCCCTCGAAACTGCTGACATTAATTGCCTCGCGCACATCTCCCTGGGGAAAAATCACAGATTAACGCTAATTCCGCTTTTATTGAGTTCGCTCTAAAACTAGAATGCGTACCTTTTCTTGGCATGCGGGGGCTTCGCCCCCTGGGCCCCCACCAGGGATTCGCTCTGGACCCACTGGGGGCCTTAAGGCGACCCCCAGACCCCCTGCCTGAACAAAGTTATCCACGCCCCCCCCCCCCCCCCTAATCACAAATCCTGTATCCGCCCATGAACATTATTATCAAAATCACAAGTATTTTAAAAAGTCTACGTAAAAGTACCCTATAATAAAAGGGGGAGGGGAATGGGCTGGAGGAACTACATGTAACTCTTGGCAATGCTCTTACTTTCTGTACTTATTGATCCAACTCCAAGAATTCCAATTGTAAGAGATGTGAGCATACGCCTGTCTTCTACGGGACTGAAAAAATAAATAAACTGATACAGGAATGATGGTCAGTTACAAGCTGTTATTTAGTCTATAGTTTGATTAAAAAATAAAATTGGCACAAATGTGTCTGCCATGAATGCTTTAATTGCTGTGACACATAATTATATATTTCTTTAAAATAAAATTCTTGAGAAATATTTACAAAACTTCATTTTATGTGAATTGATTTTTTAATGATACCCTTTATTCCACAACTTTTGTTGTTGTTGTTTGTATAAGTTCAGAGCAGAAAGTTCCCTCGCAAAAATATGTCCCACTACATATTCCGCCATTAAACGGCCAAATCCTTCTCCCATGCGTGTTATAATCACTCCTTCAGGTACCTGACAGAAAATAAAATTTCTGTTTCAATTTCCTAACATCAGATGAAATTCGATGAAGCATGTTTAAAAGAATTGAGGCATGATGAACATTTGAAAATATTTCCTAAATTACATCAAAATTAAAATTTAAAAAAATAAATAAATAAATAAACATGCTTTACATTTAAATATATTACGGCATTATCATAGACATTGCTACACACTTTGTTCATGAATTGTTGTTGATTTGTAATTCAAGAGTATACTAAGAATCAATTTCCATTTCTTTTTCTCATTGAAAATGTTCTGCCTCTTGCATTATAACGTACTCACCTTAGGAAATGCTTCCAAAATACTTTCAACACCTGTTAATATACATGATATACGAAATCGTATTCTTTTTTAGATTTCTTTATATAGTTATTTACAAAAAAAAATTACCATTTTGTCTGGATCTTAGGGATTTCAAAAGTTACTTTTTCCCGAATTCTTAAGAATTTTTTATTATGTAGAGCGTTAGGTATAAATTTGCTTACCGGCCCAAGTGCTTTGAGCCCATTTCAGTTTACTTTGTCCATTTTTTATGTAAGAAATAATACTTGGCGTATCTCCAAACAGAACCTCTGTGTTAAGAGGTATTTCAGATCTCCCTATGAAAAAAAGAAAGATCTTAATCAATCAACATATTTCTTTAATTTAACAAAACAAGCATTATCTAAACTGTTTGATCCACCCATTGATTTTAGTCTACAAGAACAAGAAAGATAACTCTTACCACTATTGGTGTTTCCGAGTCGCTGCAAAAAAGATAAAACAGTTTTAAAACAGTAAGATATTACCGTCTCTGTCTGGAGTTGCATCTATAACTTCTGCCGCCGGAAGTAGTTGACGAACAACGCTGGAGAGGCGGGGGACGTTACTGGATACACAGATAACATGACTTGTCATTTAGCCGGCCTATCAGAAAACACCGTCAAGAAGAGTAACTCCGAAATAAACAACTGAACGCATAGGTGGATCTAAGATTTTCAAATGTATGGAGCACAGACTATAAGAATAATTCATATTCATATGTACCTGATTTCAATCCTTTAATTCTATATTATAAAACTTAAAATAACTCATATTACTAAGATTATTATTTTATCTATCAATTAATTTATTAATAATAAAACTAATCTATTTATTTACATCAGTATTTATTTGCCAACATTGGTGAGTAAATTAAGGCAGATAAGATAATGATTATGTATATTACTGACAAGTATAGACGGTCAGAGACATATTCATGAGAAAAGTCCTCAGTACGTCATCGAATTTAACGGAGTTATTTCAACTAGCATTCTGAGATTATTGCATTAGCAAATACTAGCCCCCTACCAGAAAGTGCATGTAATCTGGTTCTCATTAAAAATTGAAAATGCCATAACTCCGTCAAAAATTCATTGAAGCGGAACGAAATGCAAACTTGATCTATAACTCATCAAGGTAGACTCACATACCAAAAATCAGCTCGATATCTGCAATCGTTTCGGAAAAAAATTGCGGAAAACCCTTAAAAATCAAACAGGCCGTAATTAATATTCCGTCAAAAATCATTGAAGTGGAAGGAAATGCAATGTTGATCTGTAGCACATCAACTTGATCAAGGTATACTTACAAAAATCAGCTCAATATCTGCAGGCGTTTAGAAAAATAAAACGGAAAACCTAGTGGCACAGACTGACAGAAGAGGGACAGACGGGCAGAAGCGGAGGAATCCTATAGTCCCCACCGGTTTCACCCGTAGGGGACTAATAAAACACATGCGTTATCATTTTAGCAAACTATTTTTTTTTTCATTGAAGACAAAAAATTCTTATTTGTGGTTCATATTTAGATTTGGTCACTTTCAACAAAACCACATTATTTTAATAAAAAATGCTCCTCTCTGCCATGTATTTTAGTAAATTTTCAGGGAATAAAATCATTGTCATTGCTTACTGTTGATCCTTGGAATTTATGTTAATTAAAAGAAATGAAATATGAGGATAAACAGTAATCCTGCTCAATAGTTCATTGAAACTACATTGTATAAAAATAGGCAGAGAATACACGAAAGTCTGAAAACATCAGAGGTGGGATGGGGTGCCATGGAAAAGTAAGCATCTCCTGTCGCCCGGTCACACCTGCCGTGAGTTCTCTATCATGACTGGGTAAGCGGAGAAATCCGTTGTTTTAATAAAATTCATTATGAAAATAATGACCTAACAAGACGTCAGTCAACATTCGACCTAATTATAAGGACAAGTTATGTTTTGCATATAGAAGATATAGATATAGAAGTAAAGATCTTAAAGACGATATGTATGATAAAGGAAAAAGATATAAAAAAAAAGTGTTGAAAAAATGTGTAAATAACCATAAAAATCAAACAAAAGAAAAATTGAAAAAAACTCAAATCAACAAATCCGAAAGAGTACTGGAAAATAATAAACTCAGGGCAAAAAAAAAAAAAAAAAAAAAAAAAAAAAATGGACAAAATGTAAATGCATCTGCTGAAAAATTATATGACTTTTTTAAAGATCTAAATACAGAGTAAGATAATGAAATACCTGACTATGTTTTATCATCTGAGGATCTAGATACTCTCTCTAATTTACAGTGTAATGAGTCTATAAATGAACTGATAACTTGTGATGAAATTATGCAAAGTATAAAAAGTCTTAAAAGAAACAAATCATGTGGAAGTGATGTCATATAATGAATATATTAAAAGCTCATGCAACATAATGGTGCCTCTCTATAAAAAAATTTTCAGCAAAATTTTTAACAGTGGTTGTTTCCCCTCCGAATGGTTGTGTGGTGAAATAATTCCTATCTATAAGAATAAAGGTGATGATACCGAACCCAAAAATTACCGCCCAGTAACTTTAATTAGTTGTATTGGAAAGCTATTTACATCCATTTTAAATAACAGACTTAACAGATATTCAGAAGAATTCAAATTAATACAAGAAAATCAAGCTGGATTTCGTAAAAATTATGGTATGACTGATCATATATTTACCGTGGCCTTGCATACAATCATCGAAATATTCATAAAAAGGAGTTTTTTTGTGCGTTTATTGATTTTGAAAAAAAAAAAATTGATTCTGTGTGGAGAATAGGACTCTGGAACAAAATATTATTTAATTGTAATATAGATAAAAATGTTTTAGAATTATCAAGAACATGTATAAGGGTATCAAGGCAAAACTTAAAGTAAATGGTGTTCTTTCTGACACCTTCCCTTGTCAACTTGGTGTAAGACAGGATGAAAATTTATCCCCTATTCTGTTTTAACTCTATTTAAATGATTTAGAATCATTCCTCACCATGAATAATATAACTGTCTGGAGAAACTATCTGAAATGATTGAAAATGAACTTCATGTATATATCAAGCTTTTTGCTCGATCTGTTGTATGCTGATGAAATTGTTTTATTTGCTGAAAACCCTGAGTCATTACAAAATATGTTGAATTATTTTTATGAATATTGTATAAAATGTTAAAAGTGAATGTTAACATGACAAAAATAATGATTTTTGGAAGAGGTCGAAAAACACAGGATTTATATTTTACTTATAATGGTTTAAGTATAGAGGTCGTTGACAGTTATAAGTACTTAGGAATATATTTTTCAAAATCAGGATCTTTTAATCAAAATATAAAAGAACAATGCAATAAATCTGTTAAAGCTATGTATGGAGTAATATCCAAAATGTAAACAACATAATCTTTCTATGGATTGTCAGACAAATTTTTGACAGAATCGTTCAACCAGTTTTTTTTATATGGATGTGAAGTATGGGGATTTACAAAAAAATACTTTAATTGAAAAACTTCACCTAAAATATTGTAAATATATCCTAGATTTGAACACTAAAACGCCAAACTTCATGATGTATGGGGAACTTGGCCGATTCCCAGTTATCATCAATATTAAGGTGAGAATGATTACTTTTTGGGCAAAACTTCAAATTTCTCAAACGATGGATAAATTTGCTACAAAAATGTATGCACTTGCAACAAGACATGATTTGCCTTGGGCCAACTATGTTAAAAATATTTTAGATGAATGTGGATTATCTTATTTATGGACAACACAACAGATGTACAGTGTAGTATGGGTTAAAAATGAAGTAAAAAGAATACGTGTTGACCAAAATATCCAAATCTGGAAAAGTAATGTTTATAATTCATCCAAGGGTGTTAATTATCGAATTTATAAAGAAATACTTGATCCAGAAAGAAATCTTGTTAATATGCAATTTTCAACTTTGTTATGTAAATTTAGATGTAACAATTTTCAACTCCCCAATGAAACTGGAAGATGGAATGGTCTCCCAAGAGAACAAAGGATTTGTACTTTATGTGATCTTATTAAGATTGGTGATGAATTTCATTATGTTTTTGAATGCACACAAAAAGAAATTAAAGAGGCTAGGTTAAAATTTATTTCAAATTATCTCATATACAGACCAAATATAGAGAAATTTAAACAACTTTTTTTCATCAACAAACTGTTCAGTATTGAAAAAATTATGCAAATTTTTGTTGATTGTCAAACAAATCATAGATGGAAATAATTAATTTGAATCTTAACATGATATTTTGTGCTCTTTATTATACATGTATTATATTCTTTTTCTTTGTGTTTGTATCTTTTCCTACCTCCTCTCTACAATGTATGTTTGTACATTTATGAGAATAAAATCATTGTCATTGTCATTGCAATTAGAAACGAAATATGAAGCTAACGAACAGTAATTAAGCTTAGAAGTCCATTGAAACAATACAGATTTGGAGCAGAGCAAACACGGACCTCTAAAAACATCAGAGGTGGGATCAGGTGCCATGGAAGTGTAAGCATCCCTGTCGACCGGTCATACTCGCCGTGTACTCCTTATCATGATTAAGCAAACGGAAAAATCTGTAGACTATTCAGCATGAAACTAATGGTCTAACAGCGTCAGTTAACATTCGACTTCGTCATTTGCTGACAAGGTCATTCCATAGAATTTGCGAAATGTTGACTTTAAACGAGAATGTTGATATTTTGACTCATCAACTTGCTTGTGAATAGCTTGCCTCGTTTTAGAAATCAGTACGTAGAGCATGCTCTTGCATATCGAATCATCTTGGAGACATAAACTCCATATGCAGGTGATAATGGTATATTGCTACATAAATAAGAGAAGTTGATCATAAAGTTTTGTTGTTAGGTTACCATTTAGGTCTTTTTCTAGTAAAATATCTAAAATGTAAAACAGATGTACATGTCAGATTCTGTGGTATCTTTTCTTTCGAGTTCAAAGGGATATTTCGAATCAAGGAATGGAAATAAATATTGTTAATCGATAAAACTCGTCGATATATCTAAATGTTGAATTGAAAGCCAAAGCAAGAGACTTCATCTTTTCATGTTGAAGTTTCCGACGAAATTTTGCCTCATATCAATATAAAAAATGGTGTCTGCTAATAACGTGGTGCAATAACTACATGTATCCATGGGACTTCCGACAGATTGTTGGAAGACTTGATCTCCAGAAACTACAAATTACAGACTTTAATCTTAGTCCTAATACTTTTTGTGAAAAGGACTAACGATCTTTAATTTTTCGTGGGTAATTGATCGTATAACGTTGAAAAGTCATTACTTTTTGATGCTTCTGATTGTGCCAGATTTTGTGATTTAAAATTTCTTAAAAATTCTTTGGATTTTAAGTATCTACATTTGATTAACGTCACCTCTGCAGTGGTTATCTATTGAGTTGCATTTCCTCTGATAAAAAAAAAATGGGTGATGGGGGTGTAATCAGTCCGTCATTAATAATAATTTGCACCTGGAAACAATATATAAATACTGTGTGTACTTGAGGGTAATATTATTCATATATTCACTGGGTTCGAGGGCAAAGTGCGTTTTGTCGGAACCAATAACCGTTTGCCTAAGCCCGTTAGGCCGTCAGTTTGGATCGACAAAACGCATTTTCCCCGAAAACTCAGTCAATAATTTTTTTTTATACCTTTAACTTAATTTTTATTTGACATTGCGCAGGCTTCCATGTCTGAGATATATAAAGCTGATCCCGCCTACAGTGTGATGTAAAAATTAAAGTTAACATCATAGCGGTACAGCTCAAGGACAGGTCCAATCATCGGTCCAACATCGATTTGTTTGTTTTGGACCGCTCATTATAACATTGGAAATGTTGGACTTTTTTGTATAGATTTATATAGGAAATAATTTTTAAAGGCCATCAATGGAATTTTAACAGCAAGAAAATCATTGTCAACCGAGGCGCAGCCGAGATTGAAAACGGTTTTCGAGGTTGAAACTTTTCATTGTTACCCTCAACAACATGCGGTATTTATTATATTATATATACTGGATGATTTATACAAATACATATACATGTATTCGTGGGCCATACGTAAATTCCGTGCAGTCAACATCTTTTTTAATATCACCCGTCGTCAAGTATATTGTAATTAATGTTGACTGTTGTTATCTTCTATCACACTGGAGGGCGTGGTGTCATCATTCAAAGTGTTTTTAACAAATGTCTCTCAACGAGTGAGCGTCAATTAATGGAACGTATAATATTTTGAAATTCTGATTATCTCCATAAAAATTCAAAAAATCTAGCTGTATCCTATCTTTGCAGAAACCCAATCACAAGTGTTTTGATTTTTGTTTGTTTTTGTTTTGTTTTTTGTTTTGTTTTTGTTTTTGTTTTGTTTTGTTTTGTTTTGTTTTTTGTGTTTGTTTTTTGTTTTTGTTTGTTTGTTTGTTTGTTTGTTTTTTTTTGGGGGGGGGGGTGTTAACGGTGTAATCTTAAATTGGATATATATTATTGAACATAATTTTATTAAAAACATATTTTTTTGTTTAGAATGTTTGACTTTATAAAGAATGAAGGGAAACAGGTCAAGGCTAGTACGAAGCACTTACAATCTACAGATATTTCTGAATGATGCGACATATATCTTGAAGAACAAACGCTGTTTCATATTTGGATATTTTACTAGAAAAAGATGCTAATGGTAACCTAACAACAAAACATTTTGATAAACGTGTAAACTTCAACTTTTCTATCGTCAACTTTCCTTAATTATGTAGAAATATATCTTTATCACCTGTATATGGGGTTTATGTCTCCCAGTTGTTTCGACACACAAGAGCATATGCTCCACGTACGAACAATTTCTAAAACGAGGCAAGCTATTGACAAACAAGTTGACAAGGATATCAACAGTCTCCTCTAAATTCATCATTTCGCAAGTTCTTCATATTTGACCCATCGTCTGGCGTAATCTTCGACATAATTTATAATATGATAATATGTATGCAAGATAAAATAATGTATATAATACATATAGATAATTTATAATAATATATAACAACTACGATAAACAATGCGTTGGAAATATCTTTAAATGCCATTTCTTTTTAATTTATTGCCCAGCATGCATGTAGTTTTTTTTTTTTTTTTTATTAAATGACACTTTGATGCCATTTAAATAATATGACCCCAGGAAGGGATCACATGCACAAAATAGATTCAGAAGTTTACATAAAAATGTATAGAGGAAAATCTCATTGATGAGAGCATTAGACTACGAATTCCTACACATACATATTGTTTTTAGTGTGTAATTCAATATATATGATTGGTTTGCTTACATGTAATATCACCTTCAAAATTATATTTTACGATGTCGATTTGAGCTACTAAAAAAGCATAAGTTACAGCTAAACTAAATGAAAATGTGCATTAACTGTTTAAAAGTTATTTAATTGTTGCCTAAATGTAAAAACAAAGCATCACATACAATTAAGTTTTAAAACGATTCATTATAATGACCTTCCGAGTGATTTTCCACTGCTCCCGGCGGGTGAAAATGGCTTTGTAATGGAATATTATTATGCAAAATATTTCCCGTTTGTGAATTGTCGTTGTGTATGATTGCTCTTGTTAGGTGCTCGTTATAGTTTTTATAAGAAGTGGAAGCGGAATAAGAAGGCACAATTTCTGAATAAGCAGGAGGTGGATCCATCGTGTAAGGTGGTGGCTTTAGTACGTGCTTAAAATCGGGATCAAAGTGACTACCTGAAAAAATAAAACCACGAATTGAGAAAAAATATTTACCCTCTTTGGCAACTGTGCAGTTCAGGCAATTAGTATCTTTGGGGGAGGGGATGTGTTCGATCCGAGAATAGTTTTGCTCTTAATTTAGGTTAAACAAATCTTGTCGGAAAAGAGAAATTTGGAACCCCCTCCCCCCATCCCATGAAATAGGTTTTTTGAGGCAATTTTCATTTTATTGCTTGTCATTTTATTTTTCAGGTATATGTTGTCAATTTTTTTTTATCCCCACCCCCTCTACCTTTTAAAAATTGATGATGTACTGATAGTAAATTGTATAGATTGTACATTCTGCTTTTCTTCCTTATTCTTTAATCACAAAAGGACATTTAACAAATATTTCTACTTCATTACCAATCATCAATGATTAACATTAAAATGAATTGTGTATCAAAAAGACAACATCGTAAATGTTGTGAAACTGTGAAATATGCAAGGCAAATATTATTGCCCATCGGCTTCCTAATTTATGAAATAAAAAATAAAATGTTGACTATCTCCTTCAAAAACAGAGCTTCCAGCAAAAAAAATGAATGTAAGGTTTTGTTTACAAAAAAAAAGAAATACAAGTCTCTCTCTCTCTCTGATTTGTACTCACCGCTTGAAATAATGGCTATGGTGTTCCGACTGTGTCCCCTCCCAAGTGGTCTAATGCTGGTTCTCTTTTGTTTGTTTTTCTGTATACAGCAAAATATTACACCGGATACCACACCCAAAAATACTAGCCCTCCAAAGGAACATCCGACTATTAAACCGATACTGTAAAAGAAGATCATCCCACATAGTACAAAATAATGTCGACATAGTATTTTTCTTTTTTTCTTTCTTTTTTTTTTTTTTGACTTTGAACTATTATGTTTTGATGTTAATATCTATAAGGTAGGAAATTTAATATTCCATAGATTTCTGTTCCCGAAAATTAAGCAAATAAGTAATACCTTTTAAGCGTATACATGTATCAATATTGATATTTGGTGGAATTGGATTAAAAAAATTAAACCCACCACCCTGGCTTTTTATATTAGAGCGCTGAGCATAGTCAAAAATTGATCATATTTGTATTTACTGATCTGTAATATTTTAATGAAGAACAAATATTTATATTTGTATAAGTATTGTATTTACTTATCAGCACAGCAGTATTGTTCGTATGCATATCCACAACAACCGTGTTCACAATACAGATAGCCCCGGAAAGAATTAGGTCGGGATTGGTCATCGTTACGGCATATTTCCCATGATGCAACCTCTGAAATTATGAAAGTATTACATTTTTTTTCTTTTAAAAACATTGATCGGGTAACAAGGACTTTATTTATATAAATCTTCATAAAGTTTGATAAATTTATACGGTATTATCTAAACGTTTAATAATATGAAAATTAATAATATCACAAAATATAATATATTTAATTAGTCGAAGATTAATTTTAATTGCCTGTTAGACGCTCGCATTAGACGCTGCTCCAGAAAATTTACCTTAATTGTTAATTAAATCTCTAATCATGAGCTTCCGTAGATTATGGAATTCCATAGTAGATAGCTATAAATTGCATAATAGATACATAATGACTGTAAATTTCTTATGGAAGTTTTTGTAGACAAATGTAATTTTCTGTATAGTGTGAGCTTCTGTAGATAACTTGATGGGATCTTTTGAAGATAACAGAAAACTTCTAGTGAAAAAGTTTGTAGATATCTGTAAATTTCTGATTTGAGCTTCTGCAGTTAACAGCAAAGAACTACGCACGCTAACTCTCGATTCCCGCCTATATTTTACAACATTTAATTCAATACTAATGGCAATTTGGTCGTAAAATCTTTTTTGAATGGAAAGAACTGATAATTTTAATGCCAGTTTTAAATCATTAATTACCCCTAATTCCAGCTCTTTAAATAAGGGGGGTAGACGATATTTTCCATTGAAATCGGACTTTAAAGCATCAACACATTTTAAAATATTCTTGGATATGAATAAATGTTCCTTAAATCTTTTCTTATGTTTTACGCATATAAAATTAAACATACATTATTAATAAAATACAATGTTTTAGTTGTAAACCCCTTTGAAATTGGTGAAAAAAATAAGCATTTTTGTAGTTTTTTTGTCTGTAGACATATGCCCCCCCCCCCCCCCCCCCGTGAAACACAAAAAGCTTTGGTATGAATTTGTGAAATGGCATTCCATTTTACCTATAAAAAGGAATTTTTGTTTCATGGAGGGGAGGGGGGAGGGGGAGATGATTTCTATAGTGAAAAACACGTTTTACCCAAATTATAGAGTTATCTCTCTTTGATTTCCCAAAGAAATAATGTTTTATGAAAATTCATATAAATATTTATATAAATATTAAAAATCATTCAAATGTGTTAACTCCTGAAAATTGACTTGGGTATGCTATCGTTCGCAGTTCCTACTGATGTGAGCTTTTGAAGATTACAATACGAATTTTGATTGAAGATTTTGTAGATCTGTAATTATAAAATTCTGGTGAGAGTTTCGTTGAGCTGTAAAATTCTGGTTTTGTTAGTAACTTTAAATATCTGGTTTGAACCTTTGTAGATAACTCGAATCTTCTAATACAGACTGCATATTTCTGATATTAGCTTCTAATATATTTTTTTTAAAACATAAGCTTCTCTAGAAGTATATGCCTCGGCCTCGGCATTGGAGGTGATACAAAATGTACAAAAAGAACGCAAACTTAAACTTATTACAGTAAAAGAGCTACATGTAAATTATTCATGTGTCAAATTCAAGTTACTTAACACCCTTCGCTTTTAGAGAGGGATACTATAGTCAACGCCATGCATTATTTTTGAAAGTGCAATAAAATCGATAATACACGATCTGGATAACGGAGATGAGGCTTCGTTTCCATGAAAAAGGAATTAAATAGTTGCATTAAAGTTCAGGTAAAATATCTGCTCGAGAATGTTACAGCTACTTTCTGTCTATCATATGCAGGGACATACGTCGGAAAAACTATTTCATTACTTTGATGGTCATGCACGCGACATTTGAAACTCAGAAAACTAAAGCCACATCTGTATACAGTGTATTACGAGAATACGGATTAATATAATAAAGTAGATAGTGTAACCGGGAAAGTATTATCCGTATCTAATCAATGTGTCTATTAAAGCTACAAGAATTTTTTTTCCCATGTAAAAAATTTAATTAATTTCCCTGAGATTTAAAAAATCCTACTTTCATAAAAACTCAAGTGCATTGTTTCTAATATTATAATACTTTGTTACTCTGCTTTACTCTGACATTAATATTTTGACTATTTTCTTGCTAATTAATGCCATGGTTTACTATGATACTTTGAAAGATACTTTGGTCTGCTATGGAAAATTTTTCTTGCTCTATATTTTTCATTCTGAGGACAATGATACAAGCATGTAATATCATATCAATGATGTTTCTTAAAATAAAACATAAGTGATGCTGAGTTGTCTTGGAAATTAAAAAAATAATAATTGGAAACTGCAATTAATATACAATTATTTACGCTTCACTTCGATCAATATTGATATTTTTCTGGTGAATAACAAACCATATTCACCACCGAAAGAGTCAATAGTTTTATAATAGCAACCTTAATATCGACTAGAAAATTAAAATTTCATTTCATAAAAGCAAAATAAAAGAATTTGATCAAATTTCAATTTGCGTTCATTATCTAATTTTATTTTCAACATCAAATGGTAAGAGTGGGCTTGTCAATTTTCACACGTGCAGTACATACATATAAATATCAAATCCCACTTCTTTCTGACTACCAAAATCATCATTCCATTATCTATTTTTAAAAATAAGTGAAATTAATAATTTATGGTAAATGCTTGTGCTTTAAATCAATCATAAAATAACAATCGACATTATTGACAATAGATAGTGTCCTAACCTTTCAGTCTTCCCTGTCTATAACTTATTCATTCATGGAGTCACCGTTATTGGATGATGATTTAAAAACATTATATTCAAGACAAGTGTAGATATGCATCAGAGTTGTGCCATTTTAGTTGCAGAAAATTATATTTATCTTTTAAAACTCATTTATTAAGAAATGAATTTAATATCTACCTAAGTTAAACTGGTATTACCTGGGTTGGAGCTGTTTACGCTTTATAAACCGCGAAGCGGTTTACAAAAAAGCGTAAACTGTTCCAACCTAGGTTATACCAATATAACTTGGGTAAATATTAAATTCATTCCTTATAATTTAATTTTTCATCATTAAGGGAAAAAATAAGACAATTTCTCATTCAAAAATGCCTTGTCATGATCGGAAATAACGGGAAAAATCCGTCGACAATTCAGTGTGTAAATAATGGCCTAACAATTAGTATGAAAAACGTCAGTCAGCATTTGACTCAATGATAAATTGTATTTGTTGACAAGGTCATTGTATCGACCATAGAACTTACGAAATGATGACTTCAAACGAGACTGCTGATATTCTTGTTTCATCAACTTGTTTGTCAATAATTTACCTCGTTTTAGAAATTGTACATACGTAGAAATAGTACATACATAGACTCTTGCGTATAGAATCAACTGAGAGATATAAACCCCGTATGCAGGTGATGAAGGTATATTGCTGCATAAGTAAGGGAAGTTGACGATTGAAACGTTAAAGTCATCACGTTTATTATAAAGCTTGGTTGTTAGATAATCATTAACGTCTTTCTCAAGTAAAATATCAAAAAATATGAAATAGATGTGTCAACTTCTGTAGTATTTTTTATCTCAAGCCCACCGGGATATATCATTGACATAAGAATGGAAATAACCATTGTTAATTGACAATACGTCGTCGATATATCTAAATGTCGAGTTGAAGACCAAAGCAAGTGTTTTCTTCTTTTCACGCAAAAGATGTTTAACAAATTCTGCTTCATATGAATACAAAAATAATTTAATTCTGATTGTAAGGCTGTATTTGATTGGATAAAAATTTTACTTTATATCGTATAAAATGGGTTGCCTACGTCACAATGACTTGCGTCAAAAACGTATCTATCCGCCTGACGTTACATTCAAATTTTGTACAAATTGAAGTCATTTTTTAAGGACAATCATCTTTTTTTCTTACACCAAATGAATGAAAATTAAATTATAAGGAATGGATTTAATAGCTACCCAATTTATACGGTATAAACTGGGTTGGAACAGTTTACGCTTATTTTATAAACCGCTTTGCGGTTTATAAAGCGTAAACTGCCCCAACCCAGTTCTTTCCCCATCAAATGACGCGTTACCCCATCAAATGACGCGTTACAACCAAAATTAAATTATTTAAGGAATGAACTTAATATAGCTACTTAAGTTATACTGGTATAACCTGGGTTGGGGCAGTTAACGCTTTATAAACCGCGAAGCGGTTTATAAAAAAAAGCGTAAACTGTTCCAACCCAGGTTATACCAGTATAACTTGGGTAGATATTAAATTCATTCCTTATAATTTAATTTTCCATCAATAAGTTTAAAAATTAAGACAATTTCTTCTTCAAAAATGCCTTCAATTTGTACGTATTTTAAATGTAACGTCAAGCGGATTAATACGTTTTTGACGTAAGTCATTGTGACGTATGCAACCCAGGTTATACGATATATTCTAATTTTTTATCCAATCAAATGACGCGCTATAACCGAAATTAAATTATTAAATTTTGTCCTAAAATTATTAAAAGGATAGATTTTGATAAAGTCAAATTATAAGTCTAGCCTTTGTTTTTATTAATGTCTTTAAAAAATCTCTCTTTTCTCCAAAATGAGTAGAGACATGTAATCTAAAAAATATACATTCAGGGTTCTCTATAAAAAAAGATAACTGGGGTAATCAAACTTAGAATGTTAGTCTCTATTCACACACATACACACACCCTCACACACTATTGACTGAAATTATGCCACTGAAGATATTCATATAAGTAAGATACACAGAAGTTTTAAAAATATATTCAGCGAAACTAAGAACGTCAGTAAATTATACGTGATATTCGACAAAACAGTTGCATTATGTTGTTATGGTTTGTTTTTAAATTATAAGCAAAAGCGCTCTAGTATCGATTTTTAAAAAATCCAAGTTAGCCGGTGGAAATAGGTCAATGTGGTCAATTGTCCATCATTAGACGTAAAAATCAGTTTATTATATCAGGAATCAAATCTTAATTACCACTTTGGGTCGCTGATAATGTAATTATATATCTCATCAATTCAGTGAATAATAATTTCAAGTTTATGTTTCCATAGATACATTTATCTCCCCTTAAAATCAATAGAGCAAATAGTTTAACAACGTATAGCAACCGCAAAAATAGAGAAAACATTCCCAGATAAGAATAATGTTTAATTATTATGATAAATTGCAATAGAATAATACATTGAAAAGCAAGAGAGAGAGAGAAATTGGAAGGTACTTGTTGCAATAAAAAATTATGTTGATTTCGAACAAAATAATGATAAATTGCATTCTTGATACCTACATGTACAATTCATATAACTCAATACCACGCATTCTTTGATTTATTCAGTAACACGTTCACATTTGCTCTATGCCCATCACAGTTTGTCAGTCCTGCATGTTTTGTCAATACAATGTCTGTGTTTAGTTAAGACTCTGCTTTCATCGCAGATAACAGAATTTGAAATACTGAATTTAGATTTTTCTGAGTACAGTGTACATACAAGCACTTGCATTTTGTAGGTTTCTTAGTTATGTCCAAGAATAAACATCATGCTTAGTTTTGGGAGTATCCATCGCTGCATCGTGATTTTGCATTCATTTGAATTGCTGTTGTCGGCAGTAAATATTATGAACCCTACATCTTTAGGGTATACTTTCTGCATACATTAAACTAGTTTTTGTAGTTGATGATATATCCTCCTTTCCAATTAGATACCTTTGGTCAACGCCAAATGCCTTGACATGCCTTTTGAAAGTTTTTCGAATACGAGAGCATTTGAAATGCAATAGTTAACAGATATAAGGGATTAAATATTTTAAAAGTGGTTCTTCTTAACTTAACAAGAACTGTATCCGAATTATTTCATGCCCACTACCCATGATTTTTGTGTCGTGACCTTGAATCATCTTTTTGGCACAACCCACCCTCTTGATTAAAAAAAAGGATCATTAGAGGGGGCACAACCGTAAATTAACTTTGTTTATATACAGGTAAAAATACTGGGGGCACGCCCCCGTCCCCCTTTCCCCGATTCCTTCGGCTCCCGACAGCATTACAAGTAGCCTTCACATTATTTAGTGGCCTTGACTTTTGGAATATGAATGTTTTGTAAAAATCATTGTATACCGTTAGGTCATGAGCAACAGCATACCTAAATTTGAGTCCATTGGTGAGGAGCTGGACGCGATTTTGTGACAGAAAGACAATCAATATATGTCCTCCTATTGGTGGTGACGTAAAATTTTATATAATACAGGCTTACGCCAAGCTTAACCTTACCGTTCTACTACCTTTTATTTTGCACAAAATATTTGCATTATTCACAATTATTTCATATCGATTCTCGAAAAAAAAAATTTAATTTTTTTTTATTTGCTATTTAAATTTTGGAGCATTTTGACAAAATTTCGACAGTGTTTTCTTTCTTACTTCACTTTATGGAACACATCTTTTGAATCATTTTATATTGTACAATGATTTGTCTAAAGTAAAAGCGTTAACATCTTAATACACTTTATTTTGTATATATAAACTATACGTCTGCATGCAAGATTGATGCAATAACAAGTTTGAATAGCCGCTTTACAGATTAAATGTAACACGATATCTATTAACTGGGAACATTATATTGATTGGGATAATTTCAGGCATTTTAAGACCAAGACGTGAAAAATCAACAATCTTCAGCACGCAGCTCTATAGTAAGGAGGATTTGCGTATACTGCTTTTTTGAGTCAATATGAGAAAAAAAAAATCCAGCTTACCTGAAGAGATCCAGAAATTCATCATCCCTAAGATGAAAGTTTCAAACGACATTTTTATACGCATTTCATTGACAAGTGTTTGTCAAAGCACATAAAACCGAATTCACTATCCAAAAGCTCATTTCCTTAAATGATGGAACATTACTGTTGTCACCTGAGGACTTCTTATCTATATGTACCCTTATTTTAATTTTCTATCGAAGTAAGCCCTCAAACTGGGATTTAAAATTCTGAAGTTTACACGGAGGCAATGATTCCCGGCCGGGACGTTTTGGAAAGGTTTGATATCCGACTATTGACCCGTTTTCCGATCACAATTTACAACCTGTAAGACTATTCAAGCAGGGGAAATCGATTTATACTTTTTTGTTTTTATTTCTAAATCCACTCTAGCCTTCAACTGCCTTAAATACTTCTGTGATCGATTTGATGTTTTGAGAATTAACTACAGATGTTAATAAGATCATTTTCTTACGATTTTATAGAAAAAGGATACATGTGTGCTAGTAAATTAAAGAATTAAGCGTGGTCAGTGTATTTTTTTTTCAGCAAAGAATTATGAGGTTTTAATGAACGAAATCAAACATGCTGAATTTAACACATACATTCCAATACTCTAAACTTTAATCAGAAGTGGCGAAAGGTTCTCATATGTAAAGAGTAGGCGTTTTTGATGATCAGGAGCATTAATAACAATATATATATATATATATATATATATATATATATATATATATATATATATATATATATATATATATATATATATATATATATATATATATATATATATATTGCAACAACCCTTAAACTAACATAACTGTGAATTTCTTTGCGCTTTCTATATTAATATTTCTTCAATTAGGGCAGTTACATTGTATGTTAGTTTAAGAGTTGTTGTAAAATGTGCTTTATAAATAAAATTAATTTATAACAATGTGTATCGGTAACTATCCACTAATAAAAATAATGTCCAAATAACTATCTCTCCTCCATTCTCAATGAGCGTGTAGTGTTGAACAGCGCCGCGAGAATTCCATCGGCATCCAAATCAAGTTTTTTGACTTGCCTAGATGGCCGAGCCGTCTAGCGCGCTGTTCCTGAACTGCTAGGAGACAGATTTCGTAGGTCGAGAGTTCAACCCCTGGTTGGGGGCGGAAGAGGGCATCGTTATAAAAGTGAATTTCTTTTTGCTTTCTATATATATATATATATATATATATATATATATATATATATATATATATATATATATATATATATATATATATATAATCTAAAATTGCTAAGTTATTATTAAAAAACAATTACAAAAGCGTTTTATAAATAGTAACTATACCTGCATGAAATCAAGAACCTTGTACATGGACAAATCAAGGTAAGCTTCAAAAATATACATTCTCTAAAAGGTAATCAAATAGTACGGAGTGTTCATTCATAATTTTCCTCTTCGAACCAGTTGAACTTTCTCTGAGGCTTGGGGTAGAAAAAATGTTAATTACATGTAACCATCATAGATACTGTCTAGAATATACCCAATGAATACATGTGTACTACTAATCAGATATCTTCAGTTTCGTTGTCTATTAACTTTCAGCTATAGAGCTCATAAGGGTTTTGAGGGTCTCGAGAGATGTTTCTTTGGTCTCTGAGATTCACATTCACCTATAAAACTTCGAGTTAATGCCCACCGTCTCAATAAGGTTCTGCCAACAAGTAACTTGTCACACAACCTCGTTTTGGTAACTATGAAAATGCTAGGTAGCTGAGTGACAATTGCAAAAGGTGAGTCTCCGGCGTCTTTAAATAACCAGAACCTAAGACTAAGGAAAGGCAAAACCAAGGAAAAAACCACTGGTCCTCGAAGTCCAACGGATTTTGCTTAGGGTTAGTAACCCTTACATGTAAAATATCTAGCTACTACAGAAACCAAAGCCGAGGATAATACTTAGTAGTATTAAGAGAAGGATGGAAAGTACTCGGGAAACTGAACACATGATGGATGGCAGTAACACCCAGCAGAAAACGATATCCAGATAGTGGACGTTCTCAGACCTACAAAAGTGTCTAAGGGCGGTTGCTTGAACATCCTGTCATATTGTAATTTTTGAATTTACCGGGTGGTAGTAAATACAAAAATTACAATATAGTTGTCATCTTGTAATTTTTGTATTTACTACCACCCGGTTAATTCAAAAATTACAATATGACAATCCACCAGACGGGAAAATTGGATAAAGTCTTAAAAGAAATGGACAGGTACAACATCCAATTGCTAGAAAGATGTCAAACGAGGTGGACAGGAAATGGGGCTCAAAAACTGGGCACTGGTCCTCAAATTATTTACTCAGGTAGAAACGATATTGATGAACAACTCAGCAGTAATACAGGCTTAAAAATATGTAGGAAACTACATACAGAAGTCCTTGTTAGATTGGAAACCAATCAGCGATAGACTTCTTTTTTCCAGATTGTATTCAAAGCATGCCAAATAAACAGTTGTAGTTTGATACCCACTAACGGAAGTCATAGAAGAGGAGGAAAATGCTTCTTTTTATGAAGAACTGCAAAAAGCTGTGGAGGAAATGTCAGTTCATGATGTACACCTTATATTTTGTGACCTAAATGCAAAAAAAGTTGGCTCCAACAATGAAGGAAAAGAATCCATAATGTGCAAATATGGCTGGTGTTTGATAAACATCAATAGTGGTAGACTAGAAGATATTTGGCAAGAAAATAAGTTAATTATTGGAGGCACCATCTTTCAACACAAATTATCATGGACTTCTGGTCACTCAAAGAACAATTAAGACTGCTCATGTACCGATAATCCAAAGGTGGAAAGGAACATTGCAGGATGTAAGAGCATTAAGAGGGGCTGATATAGGAAGTGACCACACTCTTGACCTTGTTTAACTGAAATTGAACTTGAAAAAGGTTTAGACAAGAGAACGACGTCTCACCTCAAGTGGATGTGTACAAACTCAAAGTAACCAGTCCCTTGAAATCATTTCAGCTGGATTAACATCCTAAAAAATAAACAACAACTCAGCATTGCACAATTCAAGACGGCACTCATAGAAACGGAACAACACACTAGGGTTAAAAAGGAAAACGAAGGCAGAATAGATGTCATCTAAGACCTGGGGATTGGTCAAAATAAGACGCAGAACAAAAAAAAAAAAAAAAAAAAGAAAATACTAATAGCCAAGTCTCTCAGACTTCAAGACTAGCTAAAAATAAATTACTCAGAACAAGGAAAAGTAAAGCAAAGCGCACAAGGGTTTATGTTGACAGGCTAGCACAAAATGCAGAAGAAGCTGCCTCTAAACGGAAACGGGAAAGCCCCAGGGATCGACGCAGAAATGTTGAAAGCTGAGGAAGTATTAACAGATACATTTCTTGCTGATATGGCAAACAAAAACTGTACTAGATGACTTAAAGGTTTCATGGTGGATCTAGTCAAAAAATGGCTGAACGACACAAGTAACTGGAGAAGAATCACTGTATGTTATTGTCAGTTACCAACAAAATTCTTAGCTGAGTCATCTTGAACAGAATGGCCTCAGTGGTAAACCCATAGCTTCGTTAAGAACAAGCTGGATTCAGAAAAGTAAAGTCATGTGCAACTTACCAGATATGTTCTTTGAGGCAGATGTTAGAACAGAAAAATGAATGGAACACAGCGCTGTATACCAATTTCATTGACTTCGCCATAGCATTTGCAGCATACATCGTCCTGCCCTATGGAAGATCCTCACACATTATGGCACCAGAATAAGACCATTTTCATCATTCAGGTGATTTATAAGGATTTCTAAGCAAAGGTGATCTGCAGAACAGATCTGAAAGTTTCCCAGTCCAGACAGGGGTGCGAGTAGGGATGTCTATTCTCATCACAGTGGCACTGTTCTTTACTTTCTGAATAGCTGGATATGAAAATCACTACCAGCCAGATAAACAGAAGAATAAATCCAAGACTTTCAAATAGTCACTAGAAGACGTACCTTGACTTTGCAGATGACATCACTTTCTAGCACAGCGGCATAAGGATATACAAAGCAATACTGTTGACCTAATCCAATATGACAGGCAAATGGGGCTAAATATAAATGTCAACAAAATTAATATATTTTGAAAATAATCCAAATGTGGACAAGCCGTGAAGTCACAGATAACAACAAACAGAAATAGACGATTTTTAAAATCTTAGTAGCAAGATCACAGCCAATAGACATTTCACCATAGATGTTGAAAATATAACAGCAAAAGTCCTTGCGACCTTTATAAATCTGCAGAACATCTGGAAATCTTTAATAATCAGAACCAAACTAAAGATAATAAGGACAAACGTTACTGGAGTCGTTCTTTATGGTTCTGTATCCTGGGAGGTGACAAACAAAACAAGCATTCTGAGAGTATTGCATTAGCAATACTAGTCCCCTACCGGCAAGTGTAATCTGGTTCCCGTTAAAAATTGAAAATGCAACAATTCCGTCTAAAATCAATGAAGCGGAACGAAATGCGAACTTGATCTATAACTCATCAAGGTAAAGAATCAATTCAATATCTTCAAGCGTTTAGAAAAAATTTGCGGAAAACCCTGAAAAATTGAAAAAGTCGTAATTCCGCCAAAAATCATTGAAGCGGAACGAAATGCAAACTTGATCTGTAACTCAACAAGATACACTCATATACCAAAAATCAGCTCAATATCTGCAAGCGTTTAGAAAAAAGTGCGGAAAACCAAGTGGGACAGACTGACAGACAGACAGACAGACGGACGGACAGACTCAGAGGAAACCTATAGTCCCCTCCGGTTTCACCGGTAGGGGACTAATAACACAAAGGCTAGACACCTTCCAAAGAAGATGCCTCCGTAGAATACTCAAGATATTCAGGCCAAATAAGATCACCAATGGGGAGATATTTGAAAGAACATCAACAGCTGCCATAACTTACCAGATAACAAAAAGAGCTGGAAATATAGATTGGCAATGCCTTAAAAATGGAAAAGGCAGATAAACCTATTTAAGCCTAAAGATAGTAGTCACCAGGAAAGCAAAACAGAGGGAGGCCAAAGAAGACACGTCAGCAATCTATAGAAAAGGAGGTCAAACGCAACACACACACGCGCGCGCGCATCTCTGACAAAGACGGCTATCCTTGTTGCAGGCTTTATGTGCCCTAGGCACAATGATGACTAGATTAAGGCAGTTTACAAGTGTTCAGTGCATTCAAGAAGGTAAATAGGATACATATATACTAGGGATGTCAACGAATAGTCGACTATCGGTTGAATGGAAAAATGCAATATAAAAGTGAAAACGTGATGAAAAATTCTCACATCAAATTTGAGAAACCGTACGGTCTTTCCTCAGACACAGTCGAAAAGATAAATAAATTTTCCACAATCAAAACTGATGACTTACAGTACAGTAAAGCAGTAAATATATATATGCTTTACTCTCTCTCGAACTATTTATCAATTATTGCCTTTGTTGTTTTTGTAATAAATTAATATAAATAAATCGCGTTACTGGATTTTAGTTATAAATTAAATACATGTAATTGAATATGATCTCGTACCATGTACCAATTATATTTGTTATGTTCAAATGCAAGGAACACGCCGTTTCCGTGACATGTTTGACATTTTGATTATTTTTAAAATTCGCTTATATTGTAATGACTTCTTGATATCCGGGGCAATCAACAGCTGAACAAGCAGTATTTAACTGTTTAACAATCTCACGGGCACCTGAATTGTGTTTTAACCCCCCTCCCCCATTTATTTTAATTAGCTTTTAAAATATCGTGCTGGTAAATTTTTAACGCTTTCTAAAATAAAAAAAAAATGACTTAACAGACCGATTTATGAAGGAAAATTTAATGGTCTTTATTTATTCCATAATAATAAGGCTATACACACGAACATCTGTGTGCAACATAGGCATTTTATGTTACTTTTTGTATCAATTTAGGTAGAAAGGTTTTTGAGTTATAAATCCGTCATGTACCGGTGAAGTTTGAGATAAAATTTTATTTTCAAAAAAGATTCCGAATATTCGGCTATCGTTCGAATAATGCAATCGAATAATCGACTAAAGAAAATAAATGTTCTGACATACCTAATATGAACATATGCATGTACAATAAATGATTTGCCAAAGTAAACATGGACCTCTAAAACATCAGAGGTGGGATCGGGTGCCATGGAGGAGTGAGCATCCCCTGGTCACACCCGCCGTGTGCTCCTTATCATGATCGGGAAATAACGGAAAAATCTATCGACAATTCAGTGGGTAAATAATGGTCTGACAGTAAGTATGAAAACGTCAGTCAGCATTTGACTGCATGATATCGACCATAGAACTTACGAAATGACGAATTTAAACGAGACTGCTGATAGTCTTGTTTCATCAACTTGTTTGTCAATAATTTACTTCGTTTTAGAAATTATTCATACGTAGAGCATGCTTTTGCGTATAGAATCAACTGAGAGATATAAACCCGTATCCAGGTGATGAAGGTATATTGCTGCTTAAGTAAGGGAAGTTGACGATTGAAAAGTTCAAGTCGTCACGTTTATCATAAAGCTTGGTTGTTAGATTACCATTAACGTCTTTTTCTAGTAAAATATCCAAATATGAAACTGATGTGTCAGACTCTGTGATATCTTTTATTTCAAGCTCACCGGGATATATCGTATCGATATAAGAATGGAAATAACCATTGTTTATTGACAATACGTCGTCGATATATCTAAATATCGAGTTGAAGGCCACACCAAGTGTTTTCTTCTTTTCACGTATAAGATTTTGGACAAATTCTGCTTCTTATGAATACAAAAATAGGTCTACTAATAACATGTACTTGTCACTTAGAAAGAACACTATGCATTAAAAAAAGAGTTAGAAAACGAATTTAATTCTTGAAATAAAAAGTACTAAATGGTATATTTTATGGTTCTCAGTTTGTAAGCTTAATCTTTTATAAATGGCATGGTGTCCACTTTCATGATGAGTGAAAAGATGATGTAAATATCAAATACTAGTAAAGATGATGTAAATATCAAACACTAGTAAAATTGATGTAAATATCAAATACTAGTAAAGATGATGTAAATATCAAACACTAGTAAAGATGATGTAAATATCAAATACTAGTAAAGATGATGTAAATGTCAAATACTAGTAAAGATGATGTAAATATCAAATACTAGTAAAGATGATGTAAACATCAAATACTAGTAAAGATGATGTAAACATCAAATACTAGTAAAGATGATGTTAACATCAAATACTAGTAAAGATGATGTTAACATCAAATACTAGTAAAGATGTTTTAAATATCATATACTAGTAAAGATGATGTAAACATCAAATACTAGTAAAGATGATGTAAATATCAAATACTAGTAAAGATGATGTAAACATCAAATACTAGTAAAGATGATGTAAATAGCAAATACTTGTAAAGATGATGTAAATATCAAATACTAGTAAAGATGATGTTAACATCAAATACTAGTAAAGATGTTGTAAACATCAAATACTAGTAAAGATGATGTAAACATCAAATACTAGTAAAGATGATGTAAATATCAAATACTAGTAAAGATGATGTAAACATCAATTACTAGTAAAGATGAAGTAAATATCAATTACTAGTAAAGATGATGTAAATATCAAATACTAGTAAAGATGATGTTAACATCAAATACTAGTAAAGATGATGTAAATATCAAATCCTAGTAAAGATGATGTAAATATCAAATACTAGTTAAGATGATGTTAACATCAAATACTAGTAAAGATGATGTAAATATCAAATACTAGTAAAGATGTTGTAAATATCAAATACTTAGTAAGCAGCTCTATGACAAACCACTGAATAGAGACTTCAAGAAATTTATTGATAATATCAATCAAAATGTCAAGGTTTATAAACAGATTTGAAAGACTTTAAAGCTATATGATTAAAACTATTATTATATAAATCTACATACTAGATACAGAATAAACAGAGAGGAAAAATAGAAAATTACCAAACCCTTCAAAATATCAATACACTTCCTTTAATATGATTATCTCTAAAACTAGTAATTAAAAGTGATACCCGTGATAATCAGGACAAAATATGTATTTCACTTCTTGGAAAATTTTCTCACATCATTACAATTGTCTATTAATATTGTTAGCTCAACAATATATTATAACAAGTATTGACCCCCTACAAAGATTTTGAGATACAAAAGTTTTCATATCCTGACAATTAACAGTTTGATATGCAAGCTTGATAGTTCCTATTAATATTATTTATCTGTTCATTGTTTTAAATACAGAGAATATGAAGGCAGTTGTGGGAGAAAATTAACATTGCTTGAATTCTTCCACCAAATAAGTAGCTTTAATTATTGCCACTTCATGAGAAATTATCCAATAGCTGTACATGTTACTATAGTAGGACTTTGTTACCCCTGGCTCTTGAATGAATTGCACAGCAACTAAAAGGGGATATTAGAAATATACACACATGTGAACTGTACAATTATTCAATAGCAATCATAGAGCACTATAGAATTTACAGTAAAAAAGTCATATATTTACTTCTACAAAGGCTTAAATAAAGCAAGGCACTGATGAAATACAAGCTTTGCTTTAAATTTCAAATTTCATTTCTATTTCTTCCATGCAATAACTCATAATTAAAAAAGAAAAATGTATCATTAAGTTAAATACAAATCTTGCTTTGTGTACAATTGAAATGTTCAAAATACTATTGGGTTAATAAGAATATTTTTTAATCATTATACATAAAATGATATTTTATGTACAATAATTTTCCAACTATTTATCTAAAGAACATGGTTTCTGTTCATGCAAACTTTCTGCCTCATCTTTTGATATAAACAGCATAAATGATATTACAAAATGATGTCTATATATATTTTTTCTATATTTTACAACTTAAAATGGCCCTCCTAGACTAGAATGTTTATTAAGTCAAATATGTATGAAAGAATTTGAAACTGAAAGTTTCAAATAGAAATTGTTTAATTTGACATTATTAACAAACAATAATACTGTGAAATCACTAATTTTCGTGGGGTTTAATTTTTGTTGTTTTCATGTTATGAAGAGACCCACCAATTCATATCCTCCATGAAATGCTAAAATTTCAATCTTAAATGTGATTTTTTTCTTTTAACAACAAAATCAAATCCCCTTGAATCATTAATTTAACCTCAAACCACGAAAATTTGACCCCACAAAAATAAATAATTTTACAGTAACTCTTTTTATTACCAATAAGGTTACAATAAATCTTCCATTCATTATCTAATTAACGGATATTCTCATTAACAGAATAATTTACAAAAATTTATGCAACGTTCATACAGCAGATGTAAAACAATCTTGATTCAAATATATCTTCATTATAAGGCTTTATATGTTTACATATGCTAAACATCAGCAACCTTTAATGCTACAAGTGTTCAACCTTCTTTAACGACAGATGTATAAAGAAAAAGTTCATCTATAAATTTACCCAATAATTTAATTTTGGAATATGTATGATTTCAGTACTTTCTTGACTTGGTACACAAAAATTGTTATCTAAAAATCAAGTAATGAATGAACATTATTGGTGAATAACATTACACTGTAGATCAACTGCTGAATTTATTTCGTATTTGCCTTATTTTCAGAAAATGTACTTATTAGTACTATACCATGTATACAACAAATGATCTAACAATACATAGGGCACAGGTTATATTCTAAACATATTGAATAACACACATTTCCCCCATTAATACTGACATTCTTAAATGCATGTGAAAACTTTTTAAAAAGAGTAATATTTTTTCAAGTGCAATATTTTTGTAAGATTAAAAATTATGTCCCAGTTTTTAGTAACAATACAATACCAACCATGTCAATCAGTCTTCTAACATAAAATATAAAATGTCCATACTATTCCATTATGCATCTGAATGTCCCCCTCCTTCCTTCAGTTTATTCAGATTGTATTCAAAATTCTTGCAGTAGAACAGCTGGACTCCAACAACAGCAAACTTTTCAGGTGTTAGGAGCCTTATAAGCTTCTCCTAAAATTAAAAATAAACCAATTATTATGGGTCACATTCTCATTACATCTAGATATAATCTTAGAAAAGTATAGCAAAACTTATTAAATACTCTGAAATCTTGCCTACAATTATGAAAACTTCAAGTCCCAATTTTTTTTAATGTTGTACATGTCTATATATATATATATATATATATATATACACACACAGTTGAACTTCGTTATCTCGAACACTGATATCTCGAATACCATGGATATGTCGAAGTGATGTGCATGTCCCAACCACTTATTCTTTAAGTATTTTATCTTGAATCCTCGGATATCTCGAAGTCTTTTCTCTTTCCCTTTAAGTTCGAGGTATTAAACGAGGTTTGACTGTATATCAGATTACTCACTTCAATATTTTAAAACCAAGTATAATCATTGGAACCAAACAATAACATTCTGTAATCCTAAATATAGGAAACAGTTAATTGTGGGATCAATGGATCAGAGGGTAGTATTTAAAATGCTTTCAACATATAATATTATACAGCTATTTGACCTGGTACCCATATATAAAATCCATATACTGGCATTTATATATGTTCAACCTCTTTCCTAATTTTTTTCATTTGTTTGTCCCCATCCTCCATGAGAAAATTCAAAGCAGATTTACCTAACAAACTGCATACACATTTAAGCAGGGAGAAAAGCTTAATAGGCTTAAATTTGGGTTTAATGTGTTTTTTAGGCATTTGCATGGAGTAAAATTCAGTGACAGGTGCTATGCCATTAGAATGAACTGTGTAAAACAGGGCAAGCTCTGATCATGCCCTCACCTCCAACTCAACACTAGCTCTACTCCTCTCTAATATCAGATAGGCCTCTTGTAGTGCAGTAAGCCCTATACATTGCACACAGAATCTACAATGAAAATTCCTATTTGTTAGAAATTAAAAAAATGTTTAGTTACCTCTAGTTTCATATTGTCGTCTGTCTGATCCAAGAGGTCATATGCCCTTGCAAAAAGTTGATACCCTAATACCGCACAACAATGCCTGAAATTAAAAATGTGTATTTTGAATTTCATGATACATGATTGAATTTCTTTATGTTCAATTGTTCATCTGAAAATCTGATTTACTTGTCAGCAAGGAGTCTGAAATTATATGTAGTACATGGGAATAAAAAAGCACCATCCTAATGGGACCAATACACCCTTGTGAGGCAAATAAAGAAAGGACATTCTTTAAAATAGCTTAAAAAACTCTGCAATCTTGCATTAAATTGCGTATTGTCATAGCCTGCATCTGGTGGAAATGTAATTGGTTGAGGGTTATATACCACCTTTGTATCCAGCATAAGTCTACAAAGTTTCTTGGTTTTAAAGTAATCTCAAGACAAGAATGTTCAATGAAAACTTTTTAAAAAAAAAAAAAGAAATACTTTCATAAATTCTGACAAATCAATTTTTAAAAATACCACATACACAATTCAAATGCTATTTATTAATTTTCCTTATTTCTCAAGGAGGAAAAAAATACATTGTATTAAATATTTTCAGATGAAATATGAAGATAACCAACAGTAATCAAGCACAAAGTCCATTGAAACAATACAAATCTGGAGCAGAGCAAACATGGACCTATAAACATCAGAGGTGGGATCAGGTGTCATGGAGGAGTAAGCATCCTCTGTTGACCGGTCACGTCCGACGTGTGCTCCTTGTCCTGATCAGGCAATTCAGTGTGAAAATAATGGCCTAACAATTTGTATGACAAACTTCTGTCAACATTCAACTTAATGAAAGATTGTATTTGCTGACAAGGTTATTACATGTATATGGTCCATAGAATTTACAAAATGTTGACTTTAAACGAGACTGTTGATATTCTTGTTTCATCAACTTATAATCTCTGGATACAAAAATATCTACAGATTGATAGAGACAATAATGGATAGATAATCAAATAGAAGAAAGGATAGACAGACAGGTTCCAACGTACATGTAACCCCCCCCCCCCCCCCCCCCAACATCATTTGTAGGGGATATCACTGTTTCTCAATTCAAATTTGCCACTTTATCAAAAGCTCAAGTAAAGCAAAATTAAACACCAAAATCCATTTCCTGACATACTCTTATCTATATATCATTTATATTAAAACTAACTGTATCTTAAGTTCCTGGAATAAAAAGTGATTTTTTTAACATCAAAAACAAGGAAGTATTTAAGTAACACTTATGTATAAACATTATACTTACTTTTGCAGCTGTTCAATTTGATATAACAACATTGATTCTGGGTCCATTTTTGTTGAATCTGAAAATTTTCATTACATTATTTTTATCAACATTCTTCATGACTCCATACATTTAAATATTGTGTATCTTTAAAAATACACCTAGTAAATATCTGATAATAATATTCTATTGTACACATTTCTTTGTTTAGAATCTAGATTTTAATTTCTCATAGAATCTTCTAGTAAATTTTATTCATTTATAGAGTGTGTATAGAATCTAAAATTCAGAATTTATCAATTGCTATAGAATCTATTAATTTTATAGAAACTATATACTATTAGTTGTTACATGTATAAATTAAATCTATCAATGGTTATAGAACCTATCTACTCATTATTATAGGCTCCTTCTATTTATTCGTATAAAATATTCATCTATTAATTGATGAGAAATCTACCTATTCATTTTAAATGGAATATATCAAACATTTTTTTAAAAGAATTTACATGTATCTAATAATTTGTAACAGAAACAACCTATCAGTAGTACCGTATATACTCGCCTATAAGTCGTTTTTTTGGGAGTTAAAAACTTTGGTCCAAAACTCTTTATCTGACTTATATGCGAGTTATAAAAGGATTGATATTTTAGCGAGTCAATCACTCTAATTTAAGCTTAAAAAATACAACCGACTTATAGGCGAGTATATACGGTACTAATCCATCTATTAATTGAAACAGAATATATACTAAAAATTTGAAATGGAAACAATCATTCTATTAAATAAATAGTACTTATAATTAAAAAAAAAACTAGCTATAAATAAATTTATACCTGGTATACTTAGGGCCCCTTCACTTCCTCCTTGCCCATCCTGAAATACAGAAAATCAAGAACTGCTTAAAACTTTATCAACTGAAATATATTGATTTTAATTTTAAAGGAATATAGTCTACCCAATTACTGTTTGAAAGAAATTATATTTCCATATAATGAAAAACATAATGCATATAAATTCTGACCCATAACGGTAATGTTTTTTCTCTCAGCAAGCAATATTCATTATTACTACATGTAAGAAAATAGTGTATATACTTCAAGTTTGCAAATTACCTTAGGGAACACCTGTGTCAGGGTTCTGACCACTAGATTCATCATCTGGAGTGGATCCGGAGGGGGTGGGAGAGCAGCTCTTGCCTGATCAGCCTTCATTGTGCTTTCAAAGTCATCATCTTCCAATGAAATGTCTGACACACTTGTCATAGAGGACTTGGGAGGGAGGTTCTTGGCAAATTTTCCTTTTTCGTGTAAACCTTTCTTCATTGTCTTGTCTGTAACCGTCTTTTCCATGTCTTCATAGTTAGATGCCAAAAATTTGTCAGATACATTTGCAGTGTGTATGATTGAAGTATATTTATCTGCATTTGCAGCTTTAGGTTTCTTCTTCTTTTTTTCCTGGTTAGCCTTTTCATTAAGAGTTTCCATAAGCCCTCCCATGTCAAATTTGTTTGCGCGAGACTGATTGAGGGCACTGATAAGTATAGCACTCCCTCGCATTGACAATCCCCCAGCTCCCTTACCTTGAGGTAGAGAAGGCGGTGCCTAGATGATAAAAAAGATTAACACTGAATAACAAAAACTAACTTTAAACAGTAAATTAATATCAGCACTTTATTACATACTGAATGTAATACTGATTATTACTAAAAGGCAAGAAAAATACTTTATCAAAGATAACAATCTTCACCTTGACCAATGTCGTGCATACATGTATGGTAGTGAAAGTTTCAATCTAAATAAATATTCAACTAGATGCATAAGATAACTTCAAAATTATAGAACCATATTCACACTTAAAACAATACCAATTGTACATAAAGTAACTCTCATTGCATAATCCATTTCAAATCTAATCTAGTATGACTTTTTGTGCCCCCGTATCGAAGATTAGGAGGTATATAGTTTTTGCCCTGTCCGTCCATCCATCCATCTGTCTGTCTGTTTGTCCGCAAAAATTTTAACATTGCCCATAAATTTTGATTGATTGGAGCTATGGCTTTCATATTTCACATGTCTATTGCTTGTGACAAGACCTTTCTTTGGATACCATCATATTTGACCTTTTGACCTTGACCTTGGAGTTTGATCCAGTTTTGCAAAATTTTACCGAACTATAACCTTGGCAATAACTTTTGAACGGTTGTTGTTAGGGCTTTCATACTTCACATGTGAACCTGCTCCAAAAACTTTAACCTGGTCACTCATTCAGAAAATGTTGGTGAAATCCA